TATATATATATATATACACACACACACACACACACACACACACACATATATATACAGGGGTACCGAGCAACTCTGCAAATATAGACTCTTACCACTGTAGGTTCTTTCCTTGTATTTCAAGAACTGTTAACACAGGTTCACTGTAAACATTGCATTGTTTACTTTCAGCTAGTCTGCACTGAATTTAAAGCCTCATGTACAGTAGCACTACATATCCCAGGAAAGAGGCAGCTTGGTACTTTACAAAGCCGAGTATGATACCAGCTAGTGGCTATACAGATACTGGAGAAGAACACGCAAAACAAGTTAAAACACTTAGGTATCCTATGACTATGTACACAGTGTAAGAAGAACTTGACTACTTGACCCATGCCTGTGTGTATCTAAGCTCCTAACTCCAGTATTTATAGAGATCATACATGCCTGTGTGTATCTAAGCCCCTAACTCCAGTATTTATAGAGGTCATACATGCCTGTGTGTATCTAAGCCCCTAACTCCAGTATTTATAGAGATCATACATGCCTGTGTGTATCTAAGCCCCTAACTCCAGTATTTATAGAGATCATACATGCCTGTGTGTATCTAAGCCCCTAACTCCAGTATTTATAGAGGTCATACATGCCTGTGTGTATCTAAGCCCCTAACTCCAGTATTTATAGAGGTCATACATGCCTGTGTGTATCTAAGCTCCTAACTCCAATGGATATTTATAGAGATCATACATGCCTGTGTGTGTGTATCTAAGCTCCTAACTCCAATGGATATTTATAGAGATCATACATGCCTGTGTGTATCTAAGCCCCTAACTCCAGTATTTATAGAGCTCATACATGCCTGTGTGTACCTAAGCTCCTAACTCCAGTATTTATAGAGCTCATACATGCCTGTGTGTGTGTATCTAAGCTCCTTACTCCAGTGGATATTTATAGAGCTCATACATGCCTGTGTGTATCTAAGCTCCTAACTCCAATGGATATTTATAGAGCTCATACATGCCTGTGTGTATCTAAGCTCCTAACTCCAATGGATATTTATAGAGCTCATACATATTAATCACATAAAGCTTTAAAAAAAAGTAAATCAGCCAATTAGAACCACTAAGAAAACAGTATAACGTGTGTCCTCGTATTATAATGGAGACACCGAAAACCCACCGGACATTGTGGGATTTCAGGACATACATCTCACCTACTGTTTTGGCTTTGGTGTTGTTTTAAAGTGACACTAAACTCAGGAGTTAAAACTAGAGATGCACTGATACCGGTTTTTCAGTATCGAGTACCGATACCAGAAGTCCTATTAAAGAACCAGACGGCGTGTAAAGACTCGCCACCCGGCTTCCCGATTAGCAGGGAAGCCGTCTCCATGCTTCTCGTCACTAGGTGACGAGAAAGCATGGAGCCGGCTTTCTGGCCAATCAGGAAGCAGAGCGCAGTGTAATGGCGGTACTAGGCGGTATACTGAGCCTAGAGTGGGCGGGAGGACGCTAGTTTGTGTCCTCCCGTTACCCTAAGGAGAACTATGGGGAAAAGACTTAAGCCCATAGTTCTCCTTTAATAGTTCAGGTCCTTGAATGTATTTTTAAGATTTAACTAGGGATGCACCGATACCGAGTATTTGGGCGAGTACTCAGCCCGATACTTCCTGTATCAGGAAGCCGGCAGCGAGTCATTACACACTGCCCAGGTTCCTGATTGGCCGGGAATCCAGCTCCATGCTCCCTCGTCACTTGTCACAAGGGAGCATGGAGTCGGCTTCTCGGCCAATCAGGAAGCCAGGCAGCGTGTAATGACTTGCTGCCAGCTTCCTGATTGGCCGGGAAGCTGGCTTCATGCTCCCTCATCACCTCGTGATGTGTATGGCGTGATGTGTATGACGGCTATGTGTATGGCGCCATTTATTTGCATATGGTACAATACGCACGTACGCGCGGCAGTGTGAATGAGGCCTTACTGTCACATTCTGATTTATTATGACTTGTTTTTTCTACTTCTTTCGTCTCTTGAACACGGTCATGTTTATTGTTATACAAACCCAAACTGTAAATATATCATCTTGGGAGATGTCCAGTGTGTAAAGTGACACTAAACTCAGGAGTTAAATACTAAAAATACATTCAAGTACCTGAACTATTAATAATAATCTATCTTATTTGTGTATCACTCGGCTGTAGATCCTCCAATCATCTCTGAGTTGGTGCTGACACTGTCCTTCCTTCTGGAGGGGGGCTACTTTTGTTCCCCATGGTCCCTGTGTGTGCTGTAAAGTAGTCACCTCTCCAAGTTCACTTCCATGATGGACTACAAGCTCTATACAAATGAGTAAACTAAACCTGAGATTGTAGTCCATCCCAGGAGCGAGCTTGGAGCAGTAACCACTTTACAACACACACAGGGACCATGGGGAACAAAAGTAGCCCCCCTCCCGAGAGAAGGACAGTGTCACCACCAATTCAGAGATGATTGGAGGATCTGCAGCCGAGTGATACACAAATAAGATACATTATTATTAATAGTTCAGGTACTTGAATGTATTTTTAGTATTTAACTCCTGAGTTTAGTGTCACTTTACACACTGGACATCTCCCAAGATGATATATTTACAGTTTGGGTTTGTATAACAATAAACATGACCGTGTTCAAGAGACGAAAGAAGTAGAAAAAACAAGTCATAATAAATCAGAATGTGACAGTAAGGCCTCATTCACACTGCCGCGCGTACGTGCGTATTGTACCATATGCAAATAAATGGCGCCATACACATAGCCGCGTATGGAGATGTATATATGCGCACAAACAGAATGGAACCGAGATGCGTCCGGGCGGCGTATTTCACGCGCATACGCATGTTTGCGTGTGTATACTCGCATATAAAATATACATTTGAATACTGTATACTCGCGTATAAAATCCCATTAGGAATGATGCATTCTGGGAATGCAAATAGTGCACGCATATAGGCACATACGCTCGTATATTCACGTATAGACGCGCGTATATTTGCAATATACAATTTTGCTTGCGTTGTGTGTGAATGAGGCCTTAATGTTTCATGTCTCGGATTGTGTGGATGATTCTCCTCTTCTGATTCTCTCACACGGTGCGCACTGACCGGACTTTTGCAGCACAAGAATAATGCAGGTCACCGCCATGGTGTAAATTGTGAACACTCGGTGACGGTTCGGCTGGTCATAGACTGTTACTATTCCATTCTGTATCGTCCAGACCGCCTACCTGACGGACCCCCAGACACACTGATCAGGATTCTTTGGAAGATCCGCATTAAAATATGTACGATTTTTCTTTATTATACCAATGAAGTCACATGACCGCGTTCTCCATACTGCTGCCTATGGCCCCAGGCAAAGAGCACGAAGTATTAATAGCACCAACATCAGAGACATGTGACATGCTGCCGCTTAGCTCCGCCCACACACCGTGCAGTGGAAGAAGAAAATGATCACATGACCTGACTCCAAAAAATAAAACCCCAAAGAAAGGAGTTTCTAATTGTTACATTTAGAAAATATGTTAGCAGTATGAACTACAATTCCCAGCACACCAGACCAGATATGGAGGAACTACAAATCCCAGCACACAAAACGCCCAGAACTATCAGATATGGAGGAACTACAGATCCCAGCGCACTGGAAACCCAGAGCCATCAGATATGGAGGAACTACAAATCCCAGCACACCAGACACTTAGAACTATCAGATATGGAGGAACTACAATCCCCAGCACACCACTCAGAACAATGAGATATGGAGGAACTACAAATCCCAGCACACCACTCAGAACAATCAGCTATGGAGGAACTACAATCCCCAGCACACAGGAAACACAGACACTGACCTGTTTATACATTTCTGCCAGTTACTAGCTTGCCTGTTACCCATATATTGTAGCTGCCATTTTATTAACCTGTATATTGGGGGATTGCTGGGATTTGTAGCTCCTCCATATTGGACAGGTAAGAGCTTCTTGTATGCCAGGTCTTTATGTCAGATATGGAGGAACTACAAGAGCCAGAATATAGGTAGCCTATACATGTCAGATATGGAGGAACTACAAGAGCCAGCATACAGGCAGGCTATACGTGTCACATATGGAAGAATTACAAGAGTTAGTATAGAGCCGGACAGACACAGTGGAAGGCCCGTAACGGATGAGCTATCTCTGTCCGTTCATGCTGGTCCTTGTCCCCCGGACTCTCACCTCCCGCTCCGCTCTCACTTCTCCAAGATCGTTTCGCAAATTTCCCGCGTTTCCGCGTCCCGATTCTGACGCACTTCCGCCGGCGTCACCTTGACAACCACCGTACTGGGAAAGGGCTTGGGTACACTGGGGGGCGGGGCTTAATCACTGCACCGAAAGCACTGTGTACCTGCGGCTGCCATGGAGATACCAAATGCAGCATCCCTAACAGAGCTCAGAGCTGTCCAGACATGCTGAGATGTGTAGTCCCACCAGAGCTAGGAAGCCAAATTCTTCCCAGACCTGATGGAGGTGGACCCCTTCCCCCAAATTGTAGTATCAGGATCACAGCCTGCTAATATGTAATGACCCTCCTGTACCTGATGTTAAAGCATGACTAAACTATTTTTTCGTTTTAGATGGAGTGGGGAAGACATAAAGACAACTTTACTCTTAGTCCTTGAAGTAAACCCCCATCCCCATGAGTGCAACCTGCTCCTGGGATCTTCAATGAGTGGTCCTGCCCAGCGCCACACTGCTGCTCAGAATTTGAAGGGTCAGGTGCTATAATGTTTTGCGTTCCAGCACTCTGCAGCCTGCTGCAATTTTGCACAGTGTCCTGGATCATGATATCACAACAAGGGGACCAGTCGGTGGTGGACACGGATTGCAGCAATGGATCTCCAGTCCCCACACCTGGAAGGGGTGCATGATGGATCACATGACTCAAGTAAGTAAAGAGTGCTATAGCCTTGCAGTGGACTTCCCCCCTGGCACTGTAAGAGTTAAATGCTCTTTAGGTCTAGGAGTAGAGGAATAGGGTGTAATACTAAGGGAATAGGGTGTACTACTAAGCCATCATTCATAACTCTGCAATGCGACATCGCAGAGGTGCTGTGGGGTGCATTGTGGTGCGCTGCTGTAGGCAGCTTATTAATTTGAATGAGCTGAATACCGCCCCTGAATTGCACTGAAGGAAGTGTCATGCGATGGCTAAGTGCACTGGGGTGCCATTGAGAAATAATGGCACCTATCATTGCAATATGTAATGCAGGATCATGTGGTGCAGCATTGCAAACACTCCTACATTGCATAGATGTGAACAAGAGCTTTACATTATTCCTGGCTTTGGCTTCCTCCATGCTGTGCAGCCGGTCCTCAAAGCCTCTTCCCTAAAGCCGGCCATACACCTGTCAATTTTTTTTTGTTCAACCCGCGGGATTCCTCCATCAACACAAACAGCGTGTCGATCGAAAGAATGTCCACTGTTTACATTATGACAGGTACCATAATACAATGTAAACAGTGGAGAATACCTGATCGGAACGGGCAGCTCGTTGGCTGCCGGCTCTGATTGCACAATCAGCCATGAAAATTTCGGCCGGTACATTAAAAACCGGCTTAAATTTAGCCAGGAAATGGGCACCTTAAGGCGCTCTGGCCAGCCGTCTCACCATGACATCATCACATACAACGCAGGTCCAGTAGTCCTGCATTGTATGTGAGGACGACGATGGCCGGCCCACAACCTGGAGCCTCACAGAGAAGAGGTGAGCGCTGTAAGCCTGTCAGAGCAAGGTACAAGGTAATATTACAGCTTATTCCTCTATCCCTAGACTTAACTGGGGGGGGGGTGGCACTGCAAGGGTTTTATTGTTTTACCCCAGAGTTCAGCTTTAAATTTGCCCACAGATGTGCTTTGAAGAGTAGATAATGTTCATTTAAAGCATGCCACGTGCATTACCCTATTGCAAACAATCTTAAAGGGACCCTGTCAGCAATCTCAAATTACAAATAAAAACTGTCTCTGTAAAACAAAAAGTGAAGACTGACCTCTCCTGCCATTGCACCACCAAACACCACTCCATATAGGAGGAATCTGACACTTCTGGGGGTGTCAATCTTCGGTGTCTCCCACAGTTTGCTAAAGCATTGCACAGTCATAAGCAATTGCGTTTAATAGAATACTAGTTTTTACCTTTTTATCATCCTTTGTTGCATTCCAGTGCCATTAGTGATGGGGCTCGGGCGTGTTCGCAGCTCCACGTGCCGAGCACGCCAGGAAGCTGACAGCACGCAGCGCCAATCACAGGTACTGCAGCTGCAGAGATCGGGAAATGTCTTAGTGCCTGTGATTGGCACTGTCAGCTTCCTGGCGGGCTCGGCACCTGGAGCTGCGAACACGCCCGAGCCCATCACTACTGGCCATCCCCTTTGCTGTCACTTCCTGCCTACATGTACTTCAGTGATGGCTGCCTCCACTGATGGCATAATGTATGTTAAAACAGCTCGAAAGGACGTGTGACAGGGTGAAAACGCAGGGCCGGAATTGGGAGACATGGATGGAGCGTTGTCACCCAGGAAGTGCCTGAACAAGGACCAATAGAGCAGGATTGCCAGTTGTTTTTCATGAAAGCTGGAGATTTATAAATGTTTTTAAAGAAAGCTGCAGATTGGAAATTAATTTTGAAATGACATTAACACATTAAAGCTTATGTGAGATTTTAGGGATTGAGTTTACATCTGCTTCAATTGTAAGTTTCTCTAAGAAGGTTTTAGCAGAATTTCTTCATAGAATATATAGAGAATTGTTTGACATTTTTACAGAAATACACTTTATGCCACTACTAACTCATGTTACTGACTTGTCTGCGGGCCCGCTTACATCAGAGGTTAGGCATGGTAACCAGACCTGTTATTGGTCTCGCCGTTCATCTGTTGAAATCATTTGGTGGGCAAGAAGATGCTGCCGTCCATCAACGGAGTGCTACAAATTCTTTCTGGCATCTTTGGGAGTATCGGTATGACCCCAGGCTGCCCAGAAGTGAACGTGGTCCAGTTATCAGATGCTGCGTGTGTTCTAGAGGGCTCTGCCATAACGTAGCGCCCTCCAGCTGCCCGCAGGGGATTGGCAGCATGTGGTTATGGTTGCACCCGTAGGTCAATTTTATGACATTTTATGATTTACTGAGTAGGGACTGCACCCATACTGGTTTTTCGGTATGGAGTGCAAGTACCGATATTTATCTTTCGGTTCTCGTCGATACCGAGTACCCATACCGGTAGTTCCGGTAGCATGGAGCCAGCTTCCCGGGCAATCAGGAAGCTGGGCGGCGTGTCATTACTCACCATCTGGCTTCTTGATTGCCCGGGAAGCCGGCTCCATGCTGTTTGGCCAGCTCCATGCTGATTGGCCGGGAAGCCAGCATCCCAGCCAATCAACATGGAGCCAGCTTTCTGGCCAATCAGGAAGACGGCAGGCAGATCATTACCCACTGCTTGCCTCCTGATTGGCCCGGGAAGCAGACTCCATGCTGTTTAGCCGGCTCCATACTGATTGGCCGGGCAGCCGGCTTTCCAGCCAATCAGCATCAAGGGCCTGTTTGGCTGGCTCAATGCTGATTGGCCAACAAACGCCTTCCCAGCAAATCAGCATAGAGTTGGCTTTCCGGCCAATCAGGGAGGCGGGGCATTACCCACTGCCCGACCTTCCTGATTGGCCAGGAAGCTGACTCGATGCTGTTTGGCTGGCTCGATGCTGATTGGCCGGGAAGCTGGCTTCCCAGCCAATCAGCATGGAGCTGGTCAAACATCATGGAGCCGGCTTCCTGGCCAATCATGAAGCCGGGCCGCGAGTCATTACCCGCGGCCTCCTTGCCTTCTAATTGGCCGTGAAGCTGGCTCCATGTCCCCTCGCGGCACTGCCGTTCAAAGGAAATCTTCCTCTGACTGGAAGTTCTGGTATCAGGATAAATACATTTGGGCCAGTAGTCGTACTCGCTCAAATACTCGGTATCGGCAACAATTCTAGTATCAGTATTGGTGCATCCCTAGTATTGAGTGGGAGAAGTCTTGAATGAAGTTATCCCAATGAAGTTATCCCCATGGCTGCCTTTTGTACTTCATTTCCAGGTTATTTACTTTATTCTTCACAGAATAAAATACATTAAGAATCCAACTGGAAGAGGGCAACATTCCCCTGTGACTGACCCATAAGCAGACGTCAAAGCTCAGGTGGAGATGCAAACATTGCCAGAGAGACAAAAGAAACTGTTCGATGATTGAACTCTCCGGCATGCTACCAAATACTGAAATAAAACCTTTGGGTACTGGCCCTTTAAAGTATATAGTTATATATTTGTGTCCATGACCTCACTCAGATGGTTACAAATACCTCGTCCTTGTTATATGCAGACTGTGAGTCATCGGCTACATGAGTCTTGGTGGACATAAACACAGTCTGGTGGATGCAGTATCAGTGGGAAGTGTCTCTGATAAAGTGTCTTTTCACAAGCTGACTAGACAGGATAGACAGTCGGTGTTACGCTGCTTTTAAAAGGGAAAAACAGTTACAATTGTTTTAGTATGTCGCGGTGTTGATGTATTCAGCAACAACCAAACTGATCGCCAATGGAACAGGTACACAGCTCTGGTCTGTATACCACTGCCAACAGGCATCCCCATTGGCCTGTATAATTCATTTAGTGACGTACTATTTAACAATTGCTCAAATTGGAATATTCTTAAAGTGACACTAATCTCAGGAGTTAAAGGAGAACTATGGGGTTAAGGCTTTTCCCCATAGCTCTCCTTAGGGTAACGGGAGGACACAAACTAGTGTCCTCCCGTCACCCTCGGGGTATACTGAGAGGCCGCAGCTGAAGCGGATCCCGACAATTGTGCCGGGATCCGCCCAGCTGCGTGACTGACAGCTGGCTCTGCCTATCTAGAGGCAGAGCCAGCTGTACCCGTCCCCTCCCCCGTCCGTTCTGCCAGTCAGCGCTGGCGGATCGGAGGGGGGAATCCAGCCCCTCCCCTGTCACGGCAGAGAGCCGTGACAGGATCGAGAGGTGAGCGAACGCCAGTATGTGTTCGCTCACCTCCCGATCTACTGAACCGACCTGTGACAGTCTCATTGTCACAGGTCGGCTAGAACTATGAGGTGAGTGAAAAGCGCTCACCTCATAGTTACATAGTTACATAGTATTTGAGGTTGAATAAAGACATTAGTCCATCAAGTCCAACCTATTAGGATCTCATTCTAGGAGTACCCGTACCCCTGTATATTACGGTCCCTTAAGAAATCGTCCAAAAGTTTCTTGAACAATTCCACATTCTTTGCTGAAATCACTGTCTGTGGCAGTGAGTTCCAGACCCTAACTGATCTTACTGTGAAGAACCCCCTTCGCCCCTTGTGCTGGAATTTTTTTTCCACCAATTTTAGGTGGTGGCCTCTAGTTTTTGTAACGGAGTTAATTTTAAACAGTTTATCGCTAATGTTGCTGCCACCATTGAACATTTTGTACATGGAGATCATATCCCCCCTTAATCTCCTCACCTCCAATGTGAACATGTTTAAATTTAGTAGCCTTGTCTCGTAGCTCTGGTCCTCCATACCCCTAATTAGTTTGGTTGCCCTCCGCTGGACTTTTTCCAACTCAAGGACATCTTTTCTTAGTACTGGTGACCAGAACTGGACCGCGTACTCCAGATGAGGTCGAACCAATGATCTATAAAGTGGCAAAATTATAGACTTGTCCCTGCAATACATCCCCAGTTTAATACAGTTCTCCTTTAATTCTTAAAAAGTCATTCAAGTACCTTACCTATTAACAAAAATGTATCTTATTTGTGTATCACTCGGCTGTAGATCCTCCAATCATCTCTGAGTGGGTGCTGAAACTGTCCTTCCTTCCGGAGGGGGGCTTCTTTTGTTCTCCATGGTCCCTGTGTGTGTTGTAAAGTAGTCACCGCTCCAAGCTCACTCCTGTGATAGACTATAATCTCATGTTTAGTTTACTCATTTGTATTGAGATTGTAGTCTATCATGGAAGTGAACTTGGAGAGGTGACTACTTTACAACACACACAGGGACCATGGGGAACAAAAGAAGCCCCCCTCCCGAGGGAAGGACAGTGTCAGCACCAATTCAGAGATGATTGGAGGATCTACAGCCGAGTGACACACAAATAAGATACATTTTTGTTAATAGTTGAGAAACTTGAATACATTTTTAAGTTTTAACTCCTGAGTGTAGTGTCACTTTAATGAGTCTATCTAAAACCAAAACTGTTATTTTTAGCATTGGATACAGCGAATTTGGGGTCAGACCCTTGTTAGGTTATTTATTGCTAAACCAAAATATTGATACTTCCAGGAATCCGTTAAACATTTTAATGGTGGAGATGGATGTGTTCATATCTGAACTTGAAAATACAATTGGGGGAATTCATGAAAACTGGAGCAGACAAAATCTGGAGCAGTTGCCTGTGGCAACCAATCGGCTTCTCTCTCTCTATATTGATATTGGCAATGCACCTGAAATGGAATTTTGAAACCGAAATCAAAAATGACTTTTTTTCCTACCTATCTTTTTTCTACTTTACTGTCGGGAGCTCTGGGTAAATATCAGGGGTCTGAAGACTCTTTATACTTCCCTTTCAAAATGAATAAGAGATTGAGGACACAGAGTCCTAAATTTCTTTTTTTCTGCAGCCCCAGCACTGAATGAACAGGAAGCCTCTATAATGAGTGTTCCTGTTCATTCATACATTGTGGATATAGTGTGAGTTACTATGTCCACAATCATGAATGAACAGGATGTGATGTAGATAACTTCCTATTCATTCATAACTGGTACATAGTAACTCACACTATGTCCAGTTATTTACAAACATTTAGCGATCATTGTTTGTACTCTGCTTTACATCCTGAATCGGCTGTCACTGGAGGCAGAGCAGAGCGGGCAGAGAGCTCTGCCTCCTGTGACATCACAGATCTCTTCTCCAATCACCGCTCTCCGTCCTGATGCAGGAGGCTGAGCCAGGTGGTGCGGGAGTAGGGCTCAGCCTCCTGCAACGCTGACAGCACTCTCCTCCCCCACCACTCAGCATCCTGAAACCTCCCCTCCCCGCTGGGTGCCAGCTGCTGCATCAGAAGGCACATAGACCAGTGCCCAGCGGGGAGGAGAGAAGCTGGGATGCACTGAATTTTCGGCCGTCATGGCACTTTCGGCATTTTGCCAAAAGTGCTATTTTCGGTAGAAAATCAATCTCGGAGGTCTGTGAGTCACAGCTTGCCCAATTGTCGCCTCTGCTGTTATATAAACCGCAGGAAAGGCGGACAGACAGGAGGCAGGCCTGCTTTAGAAATTGAACAAATTGTTGGTTACTGGTCCCCAAGTGCTGTAAATCTCACAATGTCAGACGCTACCAGCTTTATAAGCAGCGAAGAGACAGAGACGTCAAGCACTTCCTGCCATCACATTGCAGCGTTGGGCCCAGGGGATCCCTCAGAACGGTTCTTAGGATTCTGTATTTATGAGGGAGATTCATGAACTCTGGCCCTCTGAAGGCGTTCGGAGAGGGGCTGTTTCTCATTAGGAGTGGGAACAGCGCACAGCCGCTTCCCCATAGGATACAGAAAGCAATTTTGAAGTGAGAAGTTGATTGACTCAGTTGCCTACTTTAAACATAATTTCATACCTCACACCCAGTGCAAATATATTCAGGCAAAAGAGAGCCCCTCACCTCACCTCTGCTCATGGAGGCCATGAAGAATTCGCGAGCAGAAGGCACGCATTTGTGCATTGAGCCCTCATTCACATTGAGCGTTTTGTAGCACCTTTTCTGCTAATAAAAACGCTCCACACCCACCACCCCCCCCACCCCCCCCCCCCCCCATTAATTTAAATGGTCATGGTCACATCTGAGCGTCTTGTCGACTGTAGCAAAACGTCCATCGCTTGTAAAAAGTACATGAGCTTCTTTTTGGCAGATTCTGGCCCCATAGATTTCAGTGGTGGGCCGTCCCCCTTTCCTCACATGCATTGTGGCCATCATGGAGGACAGCGCTCTCCTATGCTGTGAAAGTGAGACTTTTATTCGACTGGTGAGGGAAGAAAGATGACCTGTGACCAGCACCACAAACACTGCACATCAGCTTGGCACCGCATTTGCCAGAAGTTGTGGCCCTTTGGGCGAGTTTCCACCAAAAATTCCAAAGGTGAGCATAATCACTGGGTGGACCCAGAACCTACGTCTCTGCTTTCTCTCCTCCTCCAGCTCTAGAAGCAGCCACTGACATGCAGCGCAACCTATGTCGATCAATCATATTCGCAGTGCAGAGGTATCCAGAATTGTAGGAACACTCTCCTCCTCCGTAGGAACAGTAACTGATGTCACATCTGGGACCACTTTTCATTGGATATCTCCCAATGTAGCAGCTGAAAAATCTCTGTGCTAAAAAGACAAAAAAAGTGCGTTCTTGTACGTCAAAATGTGCACAAACACGCTGAAAACGCGGTTATTTCTTGTGGCTCAGGTGTGAATGCAGGCTTACAGTGGTCAACATTCTTAGGCAGGGTTCTCTGTGCAGAAAGAATGTTTATCTGTGTTCCATTTTGGTTGCCCCTGTCTGCCTGACATTATGGGTGATTTACTAACCTAAACACACGCACGCACCAGGTGTGTGTGATTTTCACACAGCAAAACGTATTTATCAACCAAAAAGTCTCTAAAAGCATATTTCCACTAATGCCATATATGGAAAAATCATGCACATGATGCATATATAATGCTGCTTCACAGTTTAGACAAAAATGGTTAGCTCATGCATTTACATTCCTGCATTCATCAACGCAAGCAACACAACATAGAGCTAATTTACACCACATTACCTTGCAATTCATTGCAGGGCTTTGCACAACACACCTGCTGGGTGTGTACACACTACAAAGGTGTTTCGATTCCTCCCATAGATCATGCTGGGAGGGAACACACTACAGAGGTGTATACACGTTCGTGGTGTGTTTAAAAGATTAGTAAATCAACCCCTATGTGTCTGGGTCTCAGCTGCCATGAAACCCGGACATAGCATTCAAAACCCGGACTGTCCGGGTGAATCCCGTACAGGTGGCAACCCTAGACATGTGGCAAGAGTGGGGGTGAACCTGGGGCATGTGGCAAGGGTGGGGGTGAGTCAGGGACATGTAGCAAGGGTAGGAATGGGCCCGAGACACATGGCAGGGGCGGTGAGTCCAGGGCATATAACAAAGGGTGGGCATGAGCACAGAACAGATGGCAGGGGTGAGGATGAGCCTAGGACACATGGTAAGGGTGGGGATTAGCTCAGGTCATGTGGCAAAGTGGGGGTGAGCCCGGAACATGTGGCAAGGGTGGGGATGAGCCCGGGACATGTGGCAAGGGTGGGGATGAACCCAGGACGTATGGCAGTGGTGGGGGTGAACCTAAAACACATAGCAGAGGTGAGGTTGGGCCCGGGACGCATGGAAGGTGTAGGGTGAGCCCAGGACACATAGCACGGATGTGAGTGAGCCTGTGACACATTAGCAAAGGTGGGGCGGCCCCGGGAAACATGGTAGGAGGGACAGTTGAGCCTGGGGCCCGCGGCACCCACCCAAGTCACTTCCGCTAGTTGGTGGCAGCAGAACGGGTTAATGGGGATGCGGAAACTTGAAATTTCCCCAGTTCAAGATACTTCACTATATTATTTATTATTTAATTGTAAGTGTTTCCGAAAGTCCTTTGTCCTTTTAAATCTTGAAAGATTTGCAGGCCCAAGTGGATGAATGGATATTAGAATCTCTTCTACAGAACCAGCAAACGGTTCAGCCACCTCCATGGAATAGAAATAGAAGCATTATTAAGCCCCAGTAAGTCCTGGGAGAAGACGTAGTGTATTAATAAAGCTCTAATCCTCATCAGCTGGAAATGGCCCACCTGTCCCTGATCCCGGAGGACCCCCCCCTCACCCTGCTCACATACACAGATGTTTAATAACCTGCCTTTAATTTATGGTGCTCAGAGGTCCTGCAAAGACCAGGAGGATTACCTGAGTGTCACCAGTGTATTGTGACCAGGAACAAAACCTATCGCTGGAGAGTGTGATGTGATTCTACGAAATATTACCATTTAAGAAGGATTCACGTCTTCTATTCTCTATCTACTGTGTTCATTATAATGCAGTGGCCATGTATCTGGCTGAAGCCATATTCAGGTTAAAGTGGACCTTTCAGTAACTTTACAAGTCAGTATTAAGGCCGGGTGTCACCCGGAGAGTAGAAGGGGTGACATCCTGCCGTGACATCATCGCTCATGTGCAGTCATCTTATTGACGCCTGTCAGCGGCCATCTTGGCGATGGACGCCGGAAGAGAGAGGAGGGGATGTTCACCCGGCGGGATGACAGGGCCTGCACTTGAGGCCCTTTTTATCAAGAGAGCGGGCCATCACGACCGTAACCTGAAAGCATTGTTTTCCCCTTACAGCCTGCAGGAAATCCTTTACATGATGTGCGGCAGATAACTGTCCACGGCTCATTACAACCTGTAGGATGTGTGTTCCCATGCAATGGTGGATTCCATTTTTTCCAAAGCCAGCTATTGGTACAGCCTGCAGTGGGATGTTAGGATTGTAGTTCTCCGTCTTTCCTGTTTGTACAGCCTGCAGTGGGATGTTAGGATTGTAGTTCTCCGTCTTTCCTGTTAGTACAGCCTGCAATGGGATGTTAGGATTGTAGTTCCCCGTCTTTCCTGTTGGTACAGCCGGCAATGGGATGTTAGGATTGTAGTTCTCCGTCTTTCCTGTTAGTACAGCCTGCAATGGGATGTTAGGATTGTAGTTCCCCGTCTTTCCTGTTGGTACAGCCGGCAATTGGATGTTAGGATTGTAGTTCCCCGTCTTTCCTGTTGGTACAGCCGGCAATGGGATGTTAGGATTGTAGTTCTCCGTCTTTCCTTTTAATACAGCCGGCAATGGGATGTTAGGATTGTAGTTCCCCGTCTTTCCTGTTGGTACAGCCGGCAATGGGATGTTAGGATTGTAGTTCTCCGTCTTTCCTTTTGGTACAGCCTGCAATGGGATGTTAGGATTGTAGTTCTCTGTCTCTCCACTTGTTGTCTCCACCATATGTCCTCTACATTGGGCTCTGGGTGCTATCTTGGGGAAACCTGTGTCTAACGAAACACAGAAATCTCAGACTTGGGTGTCCATCTTGGAGAGGCTATAAATAGCATTGGCTGCATTACAGAGAGGCCTACAGTGTGTGAAGCGATAAGCGAGGGAGAAAGATCAGTTTGGGAGGGAAAGTTAGGCCTAGAGGCAGGGACAGTGCAGGGAAACTAACGACATAATGGGCAGTATCTGAGCATAGGACACCGAGGGCTTTCTCCAGCCTTCTGGTCTGGTGCACCAAAACTGGCCTAGGACAGAACCCTTAAAGGGAAGCCACCTCACAGAACCTAACAGATACACACATAAGGAGCACGCCTTGAGCGCCCTCCTGTATGTAAGCCCTGCATTACTGCTCCACCTTAAGAATGATATTCCCAAGTATCTTGTTGTGTAGAACTAGACTTGGGCAAGCTTCCAAGAGATCTTCCACCAGAGTAGCCTCCATTTTGCTTCACCTTTGCCGACTCTTTGGCGGTTTGGCTTCCCTAGATGGTCAAATGACCACACGATTCCTGGTTCCTTCTTACACATACGAAAACCATTGTCTCAAATCTCCCTGATTCCACTACCCGGCAGCTGAGTGTTGCTTTCACCGCCTGTCAAGGTGTGGAGAAATTGTTGCACGTCCAATCCCCGCAGCTCTGACCCTTTGATAATAAGGTTGCAAGCATCTTCCAGCATCCTGGTCCTTGTCACCACCTGGACATATGGATTCCATTACCTGAGCAGCACCTTGTTGTGGAAGGAGACACACGGCAGGTGTGGGTCAACTGGGTTCCTTTCAGCAGCTCCCCCCGTCCATACGCTGACTATGGAAACATATTTTCTCTTTATTGCATGTATTGCGTGTATTGCAGAGCTTTGCCTTATTGCCTGTTCCACCAGCGCTGCAAATAATGGTAATACAGGCGTATTATAACCTCGTTTCTCAGCCTGTGATATGTGTAACCCACAGGGAACATTTGTCTGTAGGGGAGAAAAAGAAATCATAAAATATTTTTCTTAATCCCTAATAAATCATATTTAAAACAAATCAGAATGTAAGAATTAGGTTTTTTTTTAAACAATTTAAACAGGAATTGTAGCAAAAAAAAAAAGAAAGAAAAAAAACATTAAAAGGTGAATTGTTAATTAAAGGGAATCTTTTAAAAGTTTATCTGTCATACCATAAAAGTATAGTTTGCCATCGCTGATCTCTTATTTAGACCATTTTTATTTTTTAAAATTTACCTTTTATTCTTTTTTTTTTATTAAGACAAATAAAAACAAAAACAATATTTAAAAAAACAACATATGTTAGCACATAAAAAAAAATGAAAACAAATGTCATCTTAAAGGAGAACTATGAGATGAGTGATTTTTCAAAGTACTGCAGCGCTGAATACTGAAAAATGGCCTGGCCAGGAAGGGGGTCTAAACACCTGGTCTTCAAGTGGTTAAAGTATACAACTGAACATATAACTATATTCCAAATTTGCTGGATAGGTAAATACAATACAAATTCTTGTTTTCCTTTTGTACATATTATTCTTTTTTTTTTATTTTATTATTATTAACCACTTCAAGACCAGGTGTTTAGACCTCCTTCCTGGCCAGGCCATTTTTCAGTATTCAGCGCTGCGATACTTTGACTGACGTTTATTCCGTCATGCAGCGCTGTACTGAAATTAATTTTATACAATTTTTTAGGGACATATAGAGCTTTAGTTTGGTGCTATTTAATCACCACTGGAGTTTTTATTTTTTACTATAATTAGGAGAAATTACAGAATTTTTTTTTAAAACAAGTTTTTTTTAACATTATGTTAGGAAACATTTATTATTACCAAGTTTTTTTGTAAAATATAAAAGATCGGGTCACGTCGGGTAAATAGACACCAAACATGTCAAGCTTTAAAATTGCGCGCACCCGCGAAATCGCAGAAAATTACCATACCCAAAATTGGCCATGGGCGACGCTTTAAAAGCTTTTACCGCTCATCAGTTTAGTGTTATCAGTCGGGGGGGACTGCGGAGGGGGGGGTCGACCGATCGGCACACCATACACGCTGTAGAGCCGGCGGATCGCTTGTATGGTAACAGGCATCGCTGCCTGTTTTTAAATACCGGCCATTTCTCGCTCGCGCCCGCCGGTACGCCTGCTCAGATCTAGAGACCTCTCGGCCGGCCGTTTTTTTTACA